TGGGCCATACTTTCTTCTATGTCAAGACATTCATAGTCGGGTTCCATGTTCCAAAAGTGGGCTTGGATATCGGTGCGTTTGAACTTCGATTGGTACTTGAGGTAAGTATCCGGGTTCGCATGATCTAATGCCTGGCTGCGGATAGCTTGAGACGCATTCGCTGTTTGACATAATTAGTATAAAACAGTACCGTGCACAGGTCTCCGAGAGAACATACCATCAATAGTAGTCGCCACCCGGCCTCTTATTCCATGAATTCTCAGCGGGTCTCGAAAATGTTCTCGTTGTGCGAGAGAACTCAAATCATTCCGAATTGAGGAAAATGTCAGGGCACGAGTTGGATGTGGCCCATTTGGGGTAACCATGCGAAGAACCGGTAGTTCTTGTACATAATCCTCCCATTCTAGAGTCCAAGATTCTCTTCCCTTGGGTGGGATCTTTGACAGCAAGTCATCAACACTACGGATGCCTTTGAAAGCTTGATCGGCTATGCCTGCAACCATAACATAGAAGACAAAGTTCCTGCCAAGCACCTTTTGTTCTGTAATCCAGTTCTTCGGACTAGGATTATCAGCGTACGCAGCAGTGATACCTGAAAGCAGGAACTTACATGACTGCTTCATCGCTATACCGATGGCCTTTAACAAATTCTGGATCTAGAGTAACCCATCGCTTGATTTTGTTGTCCTTATGTTGAATGTTAAAGGTAATATGCTTTGTATAAGAGCAGTTAACTTCTCATATACGATTTTTATAGTCAGCATATCAACATACCTTGTAGTAAAGACATTCATTAGTGTTCCTATATGAACTCGACTCAACAATAGCCCCGGCTCTAGCTCCGGAAGCCGAAAACAGTGAGAGAGCGAAAGCATCTTGAAAGCGAGCCCGTTCATGAACGTAGTCATGATCATCATCCTGAAATAAGCGTTTAAGAAGAAGATCAAGATCTGTTGCTGTAACATGGAATTTTTCTCTGTGCTTTGTTTCGAGTCCATACTTTGGTGTCAATACATTGTGGATATACTTGGAGAATAGATGAGTAAGCAATTATATCTCAGAAAGGGGTAAATTGTCCGTAACGCACATTATAGACATCACTTTTGATAGTCTTAGGGATGACCCTAGAGGTTTTCCTCTCCCATTCAGCAATAAAGCAGGATAAATTATAGTCCACACTATGTTGAGAAGGCACGTCCCCTTCACGTAGACAGATAAAGCTCTCAGAAAAGAGTTTCAAGATCTGGCTGGGAGGATCAGGCTCCAGCTTTGAGAAATACCTATCTTCAGGTTCATTTTGGGTCATCATCCATCTGGACTTGAATCAGGTATGTCTCTTAGATAAAGTAGTAAAATATTTTGATCACTTACGTTTTCCAATTTTCGACAGCTCTGTTGTACCTTTCATCAGTAGCTGGAGCCCTCTTTCTGTGGCATATCTCATTCTCTTTCTTTTTTGTATCTTGCTGGTACTCTCTGGTAAAACCACGTAATTCACCAAGCTTACGGAGCTCATCAACTTTTCTCCGCCTTTGCTCCTCCTTGGATAGTAATGAGTCTCTATCACGTGACATGGTTGATTTCCGTATAGGATCACAATTGAAGCCGTTTCTTGAGAACGAGTATTTTGGAGGGAAAAAAAAGTGATGGACAACCAGGTTGAGTGCCCCTATTTAACTTCACAAAATTCCTACTAGGTTGTCTAGCTCACCCACTTGCTCACCCCACTTGCTCACACAGCTCTCACAGCTCACCCAGCTCACCCATCTCATCCGCACTCACCCTGCGACTTAGCGGCGCTCACCCCTAAAGCAGCAACTCCTAAAGGGCTCATTTTCCAGTCGGCCGCGTTCAACATGTGGCTTAAGTACGGCTGAGCGGACGGGAAGCCCTGTTCTCCACACCCTGTGGTCGTATGTAGTGGTTTTATCTACGGAGAGGTTTATATATGAATTATATCATATAACATAAAACTGCAGTTTCCCCTTAGCAAGTATGCACATATGTCTTCCGGCCCTCCGGCACATCACACTTCAAACGCGATATTATAATAAATTCCCTGTGAAAAATATGTTTTTAAATGTTATATATTCCACCGCGTCTACCATACATTCAGATTTCTAATGTATATGATCATTTTGGTGGTTCAAGATATACATAACTCCCATGTCAGTGGCATTATATATCTCTTGGTCAAAAAGTCATGTGAAGCAGCCTACCAGCTTTGGAAGGCCTAAATGTTGCATTACATGTTTAATTAATATCACTTCTTTCAAACAGCCAAACTGTTTTATTATATTCTCATATGAGAAGATTGACTATTCGTACAGCAAGGTGCTTGTATCTTGTCACGCGGATCGGAAGTCTTAGAGCACGATTAACTGCTCCTTAACTTTCACTTCCTTTCGTCGAATTTTATGATCAGCCCGGCGCTGTAAAGACCCAACTCTGCTCTCCCACAATTCGAGTGCGAACATGTTGGTGAGATGGGTAGATCAGTAATGGTGAATGGATAAAGTTATGATGAGGTCGGGTGGACAGTGCATAGAGAGCACTGATGGAGTTACTGTTCAAATTTCCACAGCCACTTTTGCCTACCTTGCGTGGCTATTTGTCTACAGACGGATGGTAATCCTATTTATACTACCGGTCTAACGACTTAATCAGAATTCTCAGTGTCCGACCAAGCACTCCTTTCATAACTTCTGAACCCTATCCAATCTTGTTCCACAGTACCCATACTTCGTCTACTCACAACCACAAGACAGACTTTGAAATTAAATTAAGGAGAAAAATACCTTTTTATATGCACTATTTACTGCAAGTATTCAATGTTAATTCATCTTGAGGAATGTAGATTCGTGACAAGAAAGACAAGGCAGCGAATATGTACTCGCTATTCACCAGGTATAACTGAATAGGATGTCCATTCCCCTTCTTATGAAGGCTCCCCGGCTTTATAAATCCCCAAAGGGCTTCCACTGTCTAGGCTTCTCTAATACATTATCACCCTTCAAAACCTATCTGACAAAACTAGGGCTCAGCACATCCAAGATGGCGTCGGGAGCGGTTGGTCTGAATCGTGGCCACGCTTACATTCCCGCAAGCACACGTGGTTGACCGGATCCTCTAAGGTGAACGTCGTGCTTCTATCGAGATGGATAAAGATCTCCAATAACAGAGCGAAGGTATAGTAGAGGTTTGGCGTAGAAATGGCGTGGCTTAATGCTTGGAGAAGAAAGTGAAATCCTTTACCACGAGTATGCGACACGAAGAGCTCCAAAAGAAGTTGCCCAAAGAATTTAATTTGGCACAAAAAGAGAGCCAAAAGATGAAAGCACTGGCTACTATATGATCCGGCCTGAGGAGCGATTCCCAGTCCCCGACTTCCAGTATGTAGTACAAACCCGATACTCCTACAAGATAGCTAATATAAATAGAAGCTACTATGGCAGACTATGATTCGGCACTGGAAGGCTTGATTTTCAATGAAGCCCTCATTCGAGCTCAAGTGGAAAGTTTGTCTTGGCTGTCCGTCAGATTGCAGATTGGCCTGACTTTGAAAAGTTCACGGTCTGGTCCTCGGCAGAAGCGGTCTAAACCCGCGAAGCACGGCCTGCGAGAGGGATAATGGGTGCTGCGTCGTGACCAAGATGGTTACTCGTGCAGGTATGCCACATATGCCCGTTTTCGCTGGGAAAGAAGACCGAAAGTGCACGGCTGAAGTTGTCAGGGATCATACTAAGTTTGCCAGGTGCTCTCCCCAATCGCAATATCGCTGTCTTTGGCGTTCTCACAGACGCATATCAATGGCACTTTGTTCGTCTTCATAAAGTGGAAGGGTAAAGAATGACCTACTTGACTTGGTAAATCTTAACTTGTTACTAACATACTATAGTGCTCGTTGATTACTTTTCGGTAGAAGTCAGGCCAATTTCAGCAAATCTGGGATATTTTAAATTGGATGGAGGCTTGTACGGAGGTTCAGTCGCCCGGGGGTTCAGATTATTCATCAGCAATGACCTCACTAAAACCATGTTGATAGGAACGAATCTTGGAGATGATTCCTTCAGCTTCAACGTGAGCTGCAGAATAGTAAAGTCGTCAATAGAATGGCCCTTCGATGATCCATATCGTCTACCAACCTCAGCTACATTTGCAGACCTTCTTGTTCGACATCGCCTTTAGGGACTAGCGAATCTTTCGGCCATTTCATTGTGTGATCATGCGTGTCATCGTAGAAAGTTCCCTGTAAGCCTTCCGCATCTGGCCGTCGAGTGGATTCGGGCTGAGCCGTGAGGATGGTTAGCTTAGCTCGACAACTCTACCTTGGATGAGGTTAGTCAGGGCTTGATCAAATAGAACTGCGGATCTCCAGTACTTTGACGCCGGTTGGGACAGACGGGAATTTCTATACGTTCCGTTTCCATTAATTCCTTTATCCGGGGCTGTCCTGCCTTGATGTCAATCACGTGGTGGGAGGCCAATATGAACTGTGCATCACCAATACCACAGAGGATAAGAAAGCACGCGTGCGAGTTATATAACGACCTCTGAGAGTAAGGAAAGAGAGGATAGTGTGCATAGAAGCCAATGGGTATACCAATCCCAGGGTATCATCGAGCCTGGGAAGCTTTAAGCCGCAGATTGATTAAATGTCGTATCCACAGAATGCAATACCGAAACATGAACAGGTCCATGGCAGTGAATATCACCCTGTTGTGTTGTTACGTGTGAATTGACGTGACCAGGCGCGTGAAGCTAGACGCGATACGTTGTGTGTTGCTAGGCAGACACACACTCTCTCTGTATCTTCTTTCTTTTATTTTCTTCTGTTCCCTTTCCTTTCTTCTCCTTCCTTCCTCACCCGTCACGTCGATCTTTTATCGAGGACCACCAGCTACTCGTAACTCCTTGTTACCAAGCAGCTAACTATTCTACAAGACGTATTTTAAATACCTTGTCTCCCTTTCTTCTCTCTCTTCTTATTTCCGTCTGCCATGGCGACAGTGGCGGAGAACTCCGGGGCTCCTCCTGATCCTCAGGTTGCCGGTGGTGGTGGTAAGCCCCCCGGTAAACGTGGGGGAGGAGGCCGGAAGAATCCCCTTCCTGACAGACAGCAAGATACACCGTGCCAGTACTGTGGGGAGTACGACCATACCACAGATGAGCATTTTGAGCGGACTCTACAGAACGCCATCAATGCTTTGGTGAGTAACACTTTGGACACAATGCAGAGCGTTCATGTGAACCAGCTAACATGTCAGGTAGACTGGGTTGCGTCGGAACCCCCAGCAGTCTGGCCAGAAGAAAAAGCGGCAGAATAGACCGTGTGATTACTGTGCGGAGTACGATCACACTTCAGAAAAGCACTTTGAGCGGTCCATCGTGAACGCCATCGATGCTCTGGTGAGTGACACTTTGGAAACAACGCAGAAAGTCCGTGGGAAAGAGCTAATATGATGGTAGCTCGAAGCGAGTCGGAAACGCCAGTAATCTGACCGCCATGCTTCTCCGGCTTCGTCCAATAACCAGGCTGCTCCTGCAGCTCAGGAAGGAGGACAAGGCCGGAAGAACAAACGGGGCCGACGTCCGCCTGCTCATGAGCGGCGACGTCAACAAGCTGCCAAGCAGCACCAACAGCAGCGGGAGGTTGAGCAGCGTCCAGCTCTCACCTTGCAGGCGCAACAGCAGCCGCACCAGCAACAGCAGGGGTTTGAGCAGGATTTCGCTCTCACCCTGCAGGCGCCGGTCCAGGGAGTGGGCTTTCCCTTCCCGATGGCCGAGCAGCCGCACCCGCATGCACACCAGCAGGGGGGTGAGGGATCCCAGGTCCTTCGTCACCGAGATGAGCCCCCCTGCCTCCTCCCATGGAGGATGAGCCCTTTGAGGCTGAGGATTTGCTTGTACTCTCGGACAGTGCGGGCAGCGACCTTTAAAGGTAACGCTTTCGGTAGCAAAATCCTAGCGGCAGAGGGTGCCTGCGTCCCTTGGACCGGGTCTCCAGCAATGAGCTCGCACCTCAACGCGGTGCTGGAGTCTAGTAACCAGATGGTGAAGCCAAGACGAGCGTACATTATATAAATAACTGTGGGCACAGTCCATCTCAGCAACTGAAAGATTGCCTAGTATGGGAAGCTATATCCGCCCGTCTGGCATGTTGAGTGGGTGACGGAGATGGGATCATTTATGAACAGTCAATCAAGTCATCGGTAAATGTGAGATTTCGGTTAATCAATCTTACAGGAAGTAAATGTAGAATACTTAGCCTTGTCTATATTCATCTAACCCACATTAGTCAACCATAACAGTATATGTCCAGTCACTTCTACACAGCGTATTCGGGATTATACGTCAGATCGCAGTAGTGAGTAGTAAATAGCCATTTTGCTTATAAGTCCAAAAGGTGAACACAGTCATAACGAATTGGGGATGTGGTTTAGTGGTATAATGTTCGCTTAGCATGTGAAAGGTCCGGGGTTCAATTCCCCGCATCTCCATCTTTTTTTATTTTGTCTATTTTGTTCTTTATTCTTACTCCTGGCTCTATAATTCTGGTGTCCTGCGAATTGTACAAAATAACTCGATTGCCAAGTATTATCCTGCGTTTGTGTATAGCCCGTTATGGTGAGGTCTAGTATCAATCGACTTCCATCCGCCACTTCAGTTGCCAACTGCCAGTTGACATAAAGCCAGGGCCCACGATATGACTGCATGCCTATAATATAGCAGTGCCCAGGCTTGCGCAATAGACCCAAGGCACAGTACACTCCATTTGGTGACCGCAACATTCGCCGTGCGATTGAACTTCTCAGAATGGCTGCGACGATCATTAGCATGCGGGAAAGGCTGTTTAGGTATGGGTTTGCCGAGAAAGGAACACAGGGGCTCCCAGCCGCTTCCCATTTGGTATTCAAGCAGTTGATCTGCGGGCGTGATGCTGCGAACAAAACTGTAATACTCATCATATCGGGCCTCAAGGCTTTCTTTGCTCTTGCGCATTGGCGAGCCTTCGAAAAAGTTGTCTGCGACGAAAAGCATCATTCCTCGGTATGGCCTCAGCGACCACCGGTCAAGCCTAGATTGAATCAAACTCAATTGCACCATCCATATATACTCGGGTAAGAGTAGGCAGTAATTTTACTCACTGCGCAATCAACACCGTCCGCCAGTCGTGCAGACGTCCAAAGGCCCCTCTGAAACTCCCAGCCCAGGATGCTGCATCTCGTTGAATGAGGATGACTTTCGCCTCTGGGTAGACTGCTCTCAGATCTCTGCGAAGGCAATACATGGCATGTTGCTCACGGCGCCAAAGTCACCTAGCAGTTGATCCCAATCTGCTAGCTGGAATCGAGGACCTTGGTTGTTGAATTTTGCCTTGGCTGCCTGCATCCACCGCACGGTGTCCGAGGGTCGCTTAAGCGTGGTTCCACCCCCGTGGTATAGTCGAATTCCTAGGATGGCGAGTGCCTTTTGCATGGACACTGTTCCTGTGCGTGGCATGGACAGATGGAGGACTTCCATTGGGACTGTCCGCTCCCCTGGCTGCAGGCTAGATCCGGGCTTAGGTCCTTAGTGGGGAAACCTCTACAACGAGAACTCTGGTCATGTCTCTTACCATTGTTCTGGTTGGTTGTTACGGTATAGCCTGTCGTTGCTTTAGTTTTGAAAGTCGTCATGCGAAACTTCTGACACTACCAAGTGCCAAAGTCCCGCAATTTATCAGCATCTGTGAGTTGCACTTCGGCTACCAAGGCTGTCTGCCGCAACCGGATGCTACATTCCAACAGAAAGAGTATAATACAACAGGCCCGCATTGAACCAGTATACGGCACGCTGTTGTAGCTGCATTTCAATCCTGCCTTGGTACTGTGTTTCATCCTTTCCCTGGTTCAGTCTTTGGAGCCGAAAAGCTCTAAATAGCCTAGCAGTGCCGTCTAGGTATTTCATCTATTAGCATAGGGGAGAGTAGTTACATGGCTGATCAGCATTAAATGTGACTCATCAATGAGATGTGGTTAATATGTGATGCTATCACTTGGCCCAATATTAGTGTCTGAAGTATGAGTAATGATAGCAAAATTCTGTAGGGGATTCTAGAATATGAAGATATATAAAATCTACAACTTTTTTGACAGTTGGAATTTTCCAAGGACCACACCGACTCTAGCGTACTTAATATGGATTGTCAAGCAAGAAGTGAAAATAGAACAAAGACATGATGCAAATGAGCAGTACCTGTAGATGCAATGAAGATTGCTCGATTCAAGTATCCCGTCAAGGTACTCTAATTTATCTTTTTCAGCCGTACATGCATCCCATTGAGCAGCCTAATGGTTATCATTCCACCTACAGGATTATCTCCAGGAGGGCCTTGCAGCTCGATGGAAAACTGCTCGGTAACCGCAGCGACGACGCATCGCATTTGAGCCATTACAAGCTCCTTTCCAAGACATTCACGTCGACCGAAAAGGAATGGATGGGAAGCATGCTTCGAAGAGGTGCCACCTGTGGGGTCGATCTTTTTCTGTCCATGTTCATCGAGCACAATCCACCGTTCCGGGTAAAACTCGTTGCTTCGAGGACCCCATATATGGCGACACCGAGCCATGGCATAGGGGCAGAGAATTATTCCAGTACCGCGGGGAACTTTTACGTCTGCAATTGTTGTATCGCGGATAGCTTGTCGAGCAGTCACAGGTGCGATGGGGTGAAGACGGAGCACTTCCAAACAGAATGCGTTTAGCAATGGGAGAGACTCCATAGTGGCCCATGATCCCTCTCTGTCTGTAGAAAGAGCGTCTTTAACCTCACGGCGAAGATGAGCTTGAAACGACGGGTTGTAACCTAACTCATAGCAGCACCAGGACATTGTGAAGGCTAAGAGTTCAAACTGCGCGGCAACTGTCAGCTCTTTTCTTTGATGAGGGAGGACTGGACATTTGACTCACACTAGTAAAATCTTGCATGATTTGCTCTGTGATACTGTCAGCTGTATATGAGTGTCGTTCCGTCATTGAATAGATAAGGCTGGGTTGTGATGGTTTTCTTTCCTTCTGTGCATTGTCCTGTTGCTGCAGTAGCACGAGGCTCCGAAATAATGCATGCAGTTCATCTTTTGCGGCTCTTCTCGTTGTCTTATTGCTCCAGGAGATAAACCTACTCACCCAGCGTGGAAAGGCCAGGTACATCGCAAAGGAGAAAATATTTCCTAAACTGGGTTCCAGGATCTTGTCAAACGCATCGCCAACCTTCTTTGGTCCGTCCGACACTCCACGCCAATGGTCCCCCACAAGCCTTATTCCGATGATGTTGATGAACAGTTTACTCGGACCAGTTAGTCGTTGACAAAGTGACATAACATAGAAAAGGCTTGATATTGGCTCAAAAGTCTTACCGGAAGACGTTGTTAACATCAATCCCTGCCGCAACTTCCGCATCATGTGAAGATCCTGTCGCAACATCCTGCTGTAATCGAGCTAGGAAATCACGGGTCTCCTGCCAAATAACTGAATAAAACCTCCGCGCACTATGGATATTGAACCCCGAGCCGATGGCGAGGCGTAGTGCTCGATGGTCTGACCCTTCCGATGTGACCAAACCGTGTCCGACCATGCCTGCGATTGCGGCTCGAACTTCCTTTGGTTTCTCAAAATCATAGGAGTTCTTCACCAAGACATCTCGCAAAGCTTCCTCGTCTGCCAGGACAAGATAGTTGTAAATCCCAAGCTCTCGGAATCGTATCAGGGGCGCAGTCGGGTATCGATGCATCCATTCCAGAGGCGATCGGCCCCGGTTGTACTCGCAGATGATGCGCATGAAGTTGAAATATCCCTTGCAAAATTAATTGAAACTGTATTAGCTACGACGGGGTTCAACATATCCTGGGGGAGTTACCTTGATAGTTGGTAGTTCGCGAAGCGGATCCAGGAAAGTTGGATATATCCACATACTCCAGATGGCACTAAGGATGATGCTGGTCGAAATACAACCGGGCAGAACCAAGTGTAGGGGCCATATCGGATATAATTTCCAGAGCAAGTAGACCCCGAAAATGGAAATGTAAAGATGTGGTTGCTGCAAAATATGCATAGTGTCCTTGTGATTCAAAATGCCTTGTCTTGAAGGTCGACTGCTGTCGGTTGGTTCAATATGATTGGGAGCATTGGTAACTTATATCTACGGTAGATACTCCTCACCCCCCGCTGAAGACATGAGTATAGAGCTGATTGTAACCATGCCCTACACAGTGTCTTTGACGATATCTCAGCTAAGCCATGAAACCGCCGGAGCACAAAATTCCGGAGACATCAAAATTTGTTCGTTTGCGTCTATCATGAACCGTCAATATTGAACCTTAATTCCAGGGCCCAAGGGGAACCCACCTTGTTTAACTGACAGCATGTCATCACGATTAAAATGAGGTTTCATTCTCCAATTTGCAGCCCATGGGGTAGAATGGACACTGAACATTGCTCGAGTTTATCCAGATGATTGCATTGATTCGTCCTTATCTAGGCGATCTACCGTGCCCTAAACAACATTCCTACCGTTGCATCGCTTAGCCGGCTGGAATTCCCTGCCAACATAAGGTATTTACGGTACAGTCCGTGATTGGTTTAAGTTTTATTGATTTATTGTATCTTTTTGTGTTTGCTGCATTCTCGAAGATCATTTGTAGGTATTTGAGAACTGTTTCTGAACTTCTCCGTTAGCAGGGCAGAAGAGGAATCGTTAGTACCGTACAGTAGGACTCTGGGTCTAGGGTAGGGCGATATAACGTGGGATCTAGATAGATGTGATCCTAGAGTCTGTTTATTGTGACCTTTTGGCCCAAATTAGTACTTATTCATGGTAAAGACCTGGGCGGCGTATCCCGCACAGTGTCGGAGACAATCAGGAAAATATTTCCGGTAAAAAGCCACTGTTTTTTCAATTCTGGGATTTCTGGTTGTGGCGCCGACGGTAGTGTTTCCGGGCTGTCGATTGTATATGGTCAATAAATAATAGACGCGGTTAACAGTATATATTGAGATAAGTCGACAGCTCTCCTAACAGCCCTCGCAATCCTGTTAAAGAAGATACGGACAAAATATATATTGATGAATCTATTGTGGCGATACCAAGTATCTCTATATACTCGAGAAGCGCCGTCTACAAGTCTTTGTTTAACTGGCCTGGTATTCTAAGAGAAACTCGGACATGCTCTGCTAAACTATCTAGCGTATACGGTTCTCCGACGTAATATTTAAATAACTTATTAAATTGATCGATCTGGGGGTGGTCTTTGGATCTTTTAAAATTTCCAAGACTCGGTCTGTATACAGTGATATCTTGGGTACTGTATATCAAATATTCTTCGAGAATCTGAGTCTAGCTCAACTAGCTAATCTTTGTCTAGTTTTGTGCTAAGCTCTTTGGCTTATATAGATCTCTTTTAATGTTTCTGCACTTGGATAGTGCCCTTCCGCCAGTAGTATCCTATATTCTTTTGTATATCGTCGATTTCCGTCTATACTAAGCGATATTTATTTGTTACTCGCCTTTACGACACCATCAATAAATAATCCCTTCCAGCACAGAAGAGGAAGTGTCCAATATATTTATGCCCCTTCTCTGATGCCCAGACAGTTCATATCTAACTCCCTGCGGGCTGAGGTATACTCACCACTGCTATTAAATTTCCTTGACTCCAATGGACCAGAGAAGGTATGGCCAGGAAATCTGATCAAAATCCATAACGTCGAGCACTGGGTTGCCATACTAGTCAAGACGAGTGTATTAATCTACATCGATCTCACGAGACGTATTGCCTGCCCTCGGACGTGGCGATTTGCGACTCAACATGATGGACCGTGACCTCACCATTGGAAGAGAAAATATCCAAAGAGAGAAATCCCACTTGAGCGACATGTGCTGATCGGCGACCATACAACACTCTTAGTTACACCACCTAGTCATTTAAGAGCTCGTTGACGATCTTTGAGCCCACACACCGAGCTTCACAGTGAGCAGGATGGGTCATGGGACCTGAGGACAGCATTAGATTGGGTTATGGAGGAGGCGAAATCGCTCAAGCTCGGCGCTTATTATAAGTCGAAGTCAATCGAGGCGCGAGTGGCAACCCAATCGTGAGAATTGCCACGAGTCTATGACCCGGACGTGACGCTACCCGAGGCTTTTTCAGCATGTGGAAGTATCGAGAAGGCTTTGCTGGAGTACAGAAGCTCTCATATATAGCCTTTCTACACAGGCTGGAGTGGAGAAGTTCTTCTTAACCTGACAATCAAGTGCTCTGTTCCCTTGAGTTCATTTTCCTTTGTTCTAGTATCTATACTTTGTTCTAGTATCCACAATGACTTGCGATCGGACTCCGGACTTGAGCATTCATTGTCTTTTACGATAGCGATTGTTTCTTTCTTTGTTCTGCCCATCAATTCATGTACACATCCTACTCACACAAAACCACACGAAATATGTCGCGAGCTATAGTCGACTGGCGATGACCGGCTCCTCCGATCCTGCGTCTCGCACATCGGCCGCCGGCAGTTGCGGTACTGGTAACTTCAGCTCGGTCGCGATGGTCCTGGCAGCCCAGAGACCCGTGACGAACGCCAGCGCGAGACCGCCAGCATATCCCAGATTGCTAAATCCTCCGCCGTCGATACCTGCGATCAGTAAACCTGGAATGGGAGTCTTATCGGGGGTAAGGGCACGGCCCTTGGTGTCGATGAGCACGCCGCCGTAGGTGAACGTAATTCTGTCCGAGTCAATACTCTAGCCAAAGCAAGGATCATATCGGGGGCATGTACGATGGTTGGACTTCCATGACGAAAAATGGTCCTTCACCTTCCACCAAGGGAACAGGGGGCTTTCCAGCTTTTCCGACCGGCGCGTCGAGCGTAGATGTCTTATCGCCCAGCCGTATGAAGCGATCGTACCGTTCGATTGTTCGGAGGGCTTGCGGGCCATCTACCCCCCACTGATTGAGGATCTCTGCTAACCCTTCTAGGGAGGGAGTGCTAGCGACGTTGCATCCGTGTTCGCGGGCTTTTTCGAGCCGGTCGATTTCTCCCGCGTTGGGAAACGGTGCCGAAACGCAGTGCTGTCTTCTTGTTTGGTCGCTGAGGGTGTGAAAGGTCAGTTATTGGGCTGTGGTGCAGCTGACAGAGAGGGAAAGAGGTATACTTGAACAGCAGGAATCCACGACGCTTCTCCTGCTTCGCGAGGTATTGATTCACCACTTCATCCCCGGTTGTCTCGTCGGCAAACCTCCGGCCGCTCTCGTTAATGAGCAGGCAATATTTGCTTTCTGCAACCACGTGTTAATGATCGGACAACAAACGATCGGATTCAGACGCACGATATTGTGCCAGCGGCAAAAAATCCTTGGGATCGACCTCCTCTGCCCGCAGAGGAGCCGCCAGCAAGTGGCCATAATACGTATTCATCCCCCGACTTGTGCCTGCTCCCACCGCGGTGGCCAGCGTCAATCCATCTCCTACCGATCCTCTATTCGAACGCACAAAGATGTTGTCCCCTCCCTGGCCGAGGTGCATAGAGGTCAGTTCTGCATTCCCCTGGAACCCGCCCGTGGCAAGGACCACATGCTGAGCCTTCACTTCGTAATAGACAGTGCTCGCGCCATCCACTGTGCCACGGCGAATGATGGCGCCCACGATACGCGAACCCGGCACGCCGGGCTGTTCTTGAAGGAGTTTGACGACGGCGGTATTGGTGAAGATCTGGGATCCTGTCTTGCTATTCTGTATGCGTTGTTGGTGGTGTTGGTGGAGCTGCGGGATCTTGATGGGAAAGCCTATGCCTGTGTCGTTGTCAGATTTCATGTATATATAGTCTTGTGTATGTATATATTGAATACCGATTGTCATGATTCCATCGAACCGTTTGGCTGTCGGTATCCCGTTCTCTCGCATCCATTGTACCGCCGGCAAGTAGTCCTGCATCCACGCCGCTTGGAGCTCTGGATCCCCAGCTGGTACCCACGATCGCAAACTCTTATAATTCTTGGGTGCCCAGCTAGACGTTATCAGTAGGGTATTTGGTATTTCGAAGGAACTTCCGGCAACGTACAACATCCCCGCAGAGTAATTTGACGAACCGCCAACAACGGCTTGCTTCTCAACTACCAGGACTTTGGCCCCGGACTCGGCGGCGAAGGCAGCGCAGGCCATGCCAGACATGCCACCACCGCACACTAGGACGTCGACTGAGATAGTCTCCATATCTGGTGGAGTGTTTATTATCGTTGTCTAAAAAGACAGGTAAAATTAAAGTAGAAATTGCTTTGTGCAACTCAACAGCCCCGTACTCAACTCAGGATCGTATATAAACATGACTCCGGCATCTAAATAAATAGACCGGAGGACCCACACCCGGTGAGTTTTTCCTGCATGGGAACCAATCGAAGGGCTATCACTCCACAACACAGGAAGACATCACCACAAGGCGAATGCTGCGGCAGAAGAACAGTTAGGATTGCAATGGGGTAGAAGAGGATGTGATCGAGTCACTTCATATCGCCCATGCCAAGAGATCAAGTGGGTCAGACGCAGATTAGACGAGTCTGCATTCAAAACATCCCCGCAAATTCCAGACGCCGACCAACTATCCAGGCTCGTCGCTATCCCAAATTCCAGAGAACGCTACGCGCGTTAGCTATGAAAATTGGCGGATCCCTTCCAGTATTCTTCTATCAGTAGTGACTTACAATCATTTCGATGTGATCATGGCTAGTCGCCCGGTGACGAGACAACAGACTCACCGGCCCTCCACGGTGGCCTGTGAGGCATGTCGCAAGCTAAAGATGAGATGTGTCCGTCCGAGTCAATCACAAGGATCTATCGAGCCATGCGATCGGTGCAGACGAAATGGCCGCACATGTAGTATCCCTCCTTCCCGACCCTTAGGACGCCGACCGGGAGCGGTTGGTCGCTATCAGGGGCTCGAGAAGGCTTACCGTCAGATGAAAACACATCTGAAAACGGAGAGTACCTCAAGAAGCGGCGTGCGGAAGGTTGATAATATACAGAATACAGAGAAGGAAGTGTTTGACCTTCTGCTCTCAAAAATGCAAAACAACGAGGGCCAGTCGCACCGACCCATCGATGGAAAAGTTGCCACGACTCAGGAGAAGCACAGAAGTCCGGTTATGACTGAGTCAACGGCCATGAAACAAGCTGGAACGGCCTCACATGCCGTCAATGATCCTGTTAGCAATCCACTGGCATTACTTGTCGCCGCCTCAGGGGCCATGCATTCCGAATCAATATCGAACACTCCGGTATCCAATGCTGAGTCGGCACATGAAGGACAGTCTTCGACTTTCACAAGTATCGCGAACGGCTTTCTTAACCGACCAGGACACTTGTCGCTAGACCTACAATTGAGTCGAGAATCGCTACAGAGTGGACTAGACGCCCTGTTCGCGGCTCCGACAAGCAATAACAAGTGTGCTGATTACTTTCGTTCCCCCGATGATGGCCCTCCACGAGATGTTGGCCCGGACCTAGATCCGGTGGAGCTAGGGTTAATTTCAATGGAGGAGGCTTACCACTATTTTTCCATGTATGTACCTTGGAATGTGTAGTATCACCTCCCCCGTGTTAATCTTCGATAGGTACTTCATGCGCTTACATCCAGTCAATGGTATCCTTGACCCTAAATTGCACACCGTGGACTATGTGCGTTCCAAGTCGGCACTGCTGTTTACGTGGATGCTCGCCCTCACGGCACAATTCAATCATGGGTCCGCGGCCATTGCAAAGCGACTACGTCTACACGGCGAGAAATTGTCACGACATGTCCATACATCCGGGTTCAAGTCAGTAGAAATTGTGCAGGGGTATTACATTTCACTCTTGTCAGCCACCCCAGCTAGAACGCTGTCGGAAGAGCGATCGTGGCTATATACCATGTATGCATTTGGCGTGGCGGCCGAGCTGGAACTGGATCGAGCGTCTCCGTCATATGCATATAGCAACGATGGCAACCTGACCCCCAACTGTACACCACGGTCACCCACTAATCACGACCGGGAAGACCGAACACATGTCGAGCGATTAGTTCGCAATCGGGAGAGAACATGGCTACGTATCCTCCTCTGGGAGCGGGCGAATAGCGGTGCCTCTGGGAGGATGAATGCCATCCCCGAAAACGACCTTACCCGCAATATCGAGCGCTGGTGGATGCATCCACTTGCCGACTCGACGGACAAACACACCGTCGCCTTCATCATCCTCCGTCGCCACCTAGCATCCTTACACGCGGAACTACAGCGACAGACAGCGCTATCACATTCCAACCCGCATTGGGTGCGCGATCTCATAGATGCCACGTTAGAACCGTGGCGGAAGACATGGATATACACAATCGCCCCATCTTCAGAACCGCTGCCAAATGTGCACCTCCATCACGTATATCTCCATAACCGACTATGGACATTATCATTCGCCCTGCAAGCGTCCATCAGTAGCAACCACGATCTCAATACTATGCGAGAGGACTGTTTCCAGGCCGCGGTGCATTGCTGTGAAGTCGCCGTGCATGACCTTGAACAGATCGGGGAGCCATTATACTGCATGCTTGCTCCGACTTGGGCGATGATGTCTTACACGGCAATCCTTGCCCTGAAGCTCTTCCAGTATGTACATCAGGGACGGCCGGGAGGCGAGATAGAGCTCCTCGCATTATTAGCGCAGGTTGCACTGCAGCTCAAACGCGCTGGAACAACACCGTCCCACCGGTTCGGGATTGCTGCGATATTAGGACACCAGTTATTGATGATCCTACGCACGCGAGCAGCCGGGCTGGCTTCTAAAACTTCCATCGCGGAAACTGACCACGAGGGTAACAATGACGGTGCCCAAGGTATCCCAAACTGCCCATCACAAGAGCGTTCGTTAAATATCGACCCTATGGAAGATATGCCGCCGCATACACATACCCAGGATCCGTTGTCATCTCCGTATGGCCCCAGCTTAACGACTTTGACAATGGGGATGGAAAATGACCTTATGGGTGATGGGTTTGGGGATTTATTTCGAGAAATATTCGGCCCTAGCTTTGAGGAAATCTTTTAGCCTTCCATATACATTCTTCTGAGCGATACGTGGGTATAGTTGGTCAGTAACCCTTAGGTATACTGGAGAATATCTGTCATTTGGGGCCGCGGGGCTCCGATTTCTTTATTTGCGTGGTGTTTGCGCTTTCTCAGCATCGGCGCCCCTTCACAAAAAGCGACGTAGGTCAAAAGGACATAAATGGGCATTGCAGATAGTGGAAACACTGAGATTCACCCTCGATCATCCTGGACTAGAGGGAGTCAAGAACTTTGTTCCAGGTTTATGGTGGATAATCGAGGACCCCTTCAACCTGATATTTACATGCAATGACGAAATGAGGGTGAAGATGCATGGATTTCGATCCTTCGCTGTGAAAATCAGGCCCACCAGGATCTTCTGAAGAGTGCATCGTTACATCGCCCCGCTGTTTGTGTCGTCTTCCTCCACATCTCTGGTGTGCTTCGGCGATATATAACGCCCTGAACTCTGACTGGCATCTCAATTAAGCCTTTCTCTTCTCCGCACTCGGCTTATCCTCCGTACTTTGGCACTTTTTAGCTAATCCAGCCAGCACATAATATACGCCCACTGTTGTGGTGCCAAATGAAATATGCACCAACAATTCGCGAAAGTCCTCCTATGCGCCTCGGTGTTTCTATTTGTTTTTATAGAGCTGGAGCAGTACATACCGTTCTATTATCGATACCGGATGGCGTGTCACATTGTAAATGCGCTGATATGTATTGTCCTTTGCATGCGATACGGTATTCATCAGTGATCTGCGCCGCTCGAGAAGGACTCTCCAGCCAGATGCATTGTCTGGTGAATTTGTATCCCTCCACTGGGTTGCAATTCACCAAGTTGTCAATCTCCAGGAAAAGGCTTGTCTTTCGAAGCATGCTCTGAGCATGAGTACTGTTACTGCTACCATCGTGATAGAATCTATATACAAAGTGGACGAACCCAACTACTTTCCACCTATAAATCGGAGCCCACTACATAACCGCAGAACCATGCCGAAAGCCAGCTGAAAGAACATAACAATCAGAGCCCTGGTACAAATTCTGCAGAGGCCTCCAAGGAATGGCTGTTCACAGCGGGCTTAAGCTATCGACAATGAATATGCTTTTCCACGATCAAAAGAATCGTTTCCTCCAGGTTCCACACCTCTTACAGGTAGCTGATGGCTCACCAAGCAACGTGGAGCTCTTTTACCCTAATGAGATGGTGTGACACAGCGGACGAACCAAATCCGCGGAGAGAGAGGATGGCGAAACAACCCAAAGGTGGCCGAAGTTTTGACGGCGCACGGCCCACATCTAGAAAACGCTCACTAACTCCGCAGGACATATATGCCGATGAGGGCGAAGACCCGGGACCATCGAGGTGTTGGTTAGAGTCGGGTTTCAGAGAAGATGGTCTCCACAATTGACTTCACGATCCGCCATTGTCGTTCTAAGAGTGAGTAGCCCTACAAGCGAATTTTGGAGATGCTGGCTGCGTGAGCGATAGTCCGTGTCTTTGAAAACTTATGGTAGACGCAAGTTTAATTGCAGGCACTGCAACGAAACGGCTTCAGAAAATGTAGCTGGTGATAGAGGCTTTCAGATAGTCCGACTCCGAAGCATTCCTGGAGCATACGAGTGATCGTCGCCGTTATTCTCCACCAGGTAAAACTCTGTCAAGCCACCCACGCTGAGTCAGGTCTGAGATACTTGTGCTATCAAAACTACTTTTGCAGTCATACCGCCGCCGGCAATAAGAAGCAGCTCCTACTTGAAACCCCATATGACTTGAAAACATTACATTCCACCAGCCAGCCCCAGGCTGAACATCATTATTTAAAAATAGATAAAGCATGGCATGTCAAAACAGTCACCCACTCTACTTTCCTGCTACTCCTACATTTCGTTCACGTTTGACCGCTAGCTACATGTAGGTCGCCCGCCGGAGAGCATTTCGGCTGATTTCCGCCAGTGACAAGGCTTGGTGTGTCTTACTTGGTTTAGACTCCCACTGGTGCGACATTAGCATGAAAGACGTAGATTAAACGGGGGTTTTAAATAGTTTCACCGAGCCAAGTCCGTGCAATTCCTAAGGATTGTGGAGCCGGCCCACCGGTTTGACTATAAGACTTGGCGCGCGAGTCTAAAGGAATAGAGGATCCACTGCTAGGCTATATTCCGAGTTCATACAGCTTAGGAGTCGATTAAGTCAGCGTGATGAGGCTAGACTGCGGAAGATCATAATAATAATGATACTATTAATGACCAGATCGGCTCTCGAGTTCCAAAGAAAAAGCGCAAGACAGGGGAAATGACGAAAATAAAATTCAGCTAGTTTCATATCCTTAGACAGTCTGCTGGACGCTAACATCGGTAGTGACCTGAATCCCGGCATGCATGATACGTTCCTGGGACCCATTGTGGCTGGTTTCCACATCAGCCCTGCTGTGTCCTGTCACCGGCTTCAGCTTGATGCTATTACGCCCCCGTGTCGATAGCCCGTTGTATGTCCGACGGGTCGAACTACCGTACAGCTTTGACGGGCCGATGGACTCGTCTTTGCTGGCGAGACCAAGTAGACGCTGTAACGTCGGGAAGCGGTAGCTGATGAAGGTCTTGAAGGAGGGGATACACGCGATGAAAATGGCCACCGCGACTTCCACGCAGGACCAGTTCATTGCGTCGACCAACACCCCTGCAGGCGTGCAGATGTCAGTAGTAATTTCTAGCAGGACAGGGAGGAACGAGAATGCTGCAACATACATGTGTGGTCCTCGGAGAAGGGATTAAAGTAGGTGACCCTGATGATGCTGGTTACGCACACACTAGTACGTATATTAGTTATTTCTCCCGGTCCTGATTGCATGGAGGAGGGGCAGCATACAGAAGTCCCAGGCTGAACATCATCACCAAACCCACTCGCTTGCCCACCGCCATCTTCAGACGCAATAGTTTGGGAATAGGCATTGCAAAAAGGGCCAAGTCCGTGGCTAGCTTGATACCAAAGTTGGCATAGTAAAAGACCGTCATGTCCACGCACTTCCCTTCCACGAGCCTGTGGCATCCCACGCCTTGTAGACAGGCCAGCATTGGAAGATCACCACAAGGACCTCTTCAATTGTTTCGGCAACTAGAATAGCTAACACCAACCAGCATGACATACGAAATTTCTTCCCCGGGAAGATGTGGAGGTAGAGCAGGCAAAAGGAGATCTTGATGGCGCCGAGGGCGAGAACGTAGGCGAGCATGGTGACAAAGTCAAGCTGTGAAAGGAATGGGCATAGTCAGCAGGCTGCCGTCCATTGTCAGACATTGCCCTAACCTTGAGGAACATGGCCCTGTCGCTGAAGCTTTCTACCGTTCCAATGTGCTTGCCGAATCCATATTTGGTCACTGAGTGGGCCTAGCTGTTAGAATATTGCATGCTATTGCCTCGTCGCAAGGTCACTTACTCAGCATACAAGCAACGCACAGAACGAACGTAAAGACCTGATTAGGCAGCTGTATATCAGTAATTCTGAGAAGACAGATGGGGTGCAAGGAGGCGGAGAAGTTGGCCTACCCAACTGGTCACACATAGTAAATCATCAAGATTGATTCCCGTGAGATATCGGATACGGACGAAAAGACGCACTAGGAGCCCCGCGGTCGCAATAATGAGGAGCACTGTATTGCAGAAAATGATCTCGGGAATTCGGGATTGCGCCAGGAAGGCTATTCGCTCCGGCGAAAGTGATCTTTCCCAGACCTCTTCCATAGGAAAGACCGGCTGGCCGTCTGCAAAGAAAGAGGCCGCAAGGAGAGTCCGACAAAGACAAGGACAGTCACATTTGTAGGAGCTCAAGGACGCACAAGAACGAGTGACGGAGATTCCACCTATATGCCCCTATGGTCTGCAGAGCCTAGGCATGTTTCATCCATCAACAAGGGGGTGGGGGTGATGAGGAATCGATTCGTCAACACGTGGAATCCTCCACCGGCAGATAGTGTCGCAGAGTTGCAGCTCCGTATCAAGATTACGGGGTAAATTGGTAGGCTGATGCAGATCCAGACCACAATTCAGCGGACGGTTTCTACGCCCCACTCGCCGATCCACTTGGCTGACTATTGCACAGGCACCAGGTGGAGAGCATCCGACATGAAGCCGAATGGCAGCACGAAACCATCTCTATTAACATTGGAATGGCTTGAACTAGTGGGTGCCCATTGTTAGGTGCTCTAATGCTATTGGTGTATGCATTTCGTCTTCTTTGGTTCCTTGAAAGTAGGCATTAATACAGTCCTCCCTATATTAGTGTATAGACTCTGCAAGACTATACATACGATTCCGAGCCAAAAGAATGACGTCGACTTTGACTATTTGGTTGACACGCTTTGTGAGTTTCAAGCACCACTCCCTAGGACCGAAGGAAGAGGAGTGCTCGTACCACAGAGATGTACCAAGGGACTGGATGAAAAGTTCGTGCAGTACAGTCCAATTGTTCCAACAACAGAAAAGATATGTCAAGCCCTCGAGAGGAATCCAAGGACAAATAAAGAGGGGTTGCTATCACTGTTCGCTGGCAAGAGGGGCTCAGCGCACAAGTACATTCAGAGTTGTTGGTAAGGAACAAGCAAAACTAGGATGATTGGAACTTGAAACAGCTCGACAGCTAGAGTTCACCTGGCTTTAAGCTACACCTCTATTGCCGATAGATTATATGTAGTACAGCTGATAGACCATCTGCGCATAATATCGTATACCAAAGCAGCTAGAATATAGGCTCTCCACTTGCACTACTGTTGAGTTTCAAGACCTCCTTATGCCTCATATCAGCGCTCATTCTTAGCCAACCTATGCTAACCAAATTAATGTCTCGCAGCTCAGAGGTCTTCCACACACCTCCGCCTGCGGGAGGGTTGCCACAGGCAGCAGAAATAGCTTACCCCGGGTTTGTCGATGACTGTCCAGGCCCAGGCTTGCCGAATTCTACAATTGCTTGTTGAGGAATATCAAATATCGGTTCAGTCATATAAATACTCTTCAAGCCCTTGACATGAAAAGGCCAATCCTGAAGACCAACATCCAGACTGAGGAACAAGAGGTATCCGGGGTCCTGAGCTTGTTCTTTTTCAAACGTTGGCAGCTGGTCAGCTCCTAGGTAGCCGCAGGAAGAAAGCACATATATGGAGCTGCCTTTTTGATCAGCTTTTTCATGCACTCCGGCTTTTCGAAAGTATAGTGCTGTAGAATCATGAAGTACACACAATTCCATTCGTAAATCCGGTCAAGCCCCGGCTACATGTTTGAGCTTGCGGATAAACGCTGCACAGTCTGAACAGCCGTTAGACAGACAGCACATGATTTTCCAAGGGCTCTTAGGGTCTCATATACATACCTCTTTCCTCATAGAACTCGAGCTCTAGATATTTACCCCGTGTGCTGGATCCTAATGATGTTAACGTAGACTGACGTGAGTCCTGTGAAAAGCCACTAGCGACGCTATCCATGGAACCGCGTCGTGAAGCAGCCTGAAACAGAAGTTTGACCTGTTTTGATTTCTGATTGGGAGTGCCCAGGTCATTTACTAGCGAAGCGTAAGCTTCCATCTGAAGACTCAGCTACTGCCAAAAAATACTAATTAAGCTCACCTAGCATATCGACAAACCTTGCTCGGCGGGATGTCCCCGGGAAGGAAGCAAAGAATAACAATGAAAGTGCTTTGGTAATTGGGTCTTCGAGCACGCGGACTGTCTCTCCTGAGTTGGAATAGTAATCCGATCCAACGGAGATTTTCCTCACGTCAAAGCAGGCGACGACCTTTCTTCGAAGAAGGACCCTCTGAAAGCTCTCGAAATCTAGATTGGTATTTGCTGTAAACCTGGGCCTGTCCTAGTATACTGCCGGGTATGACTTACCACTACGGTCGCGGCATTTATAGATCGGCGAGATACTATATCTGACAATGGACTGTTGCTCTTCGATCTTCGCTTTATGCGTACCCTGGAACCAGATGGGGCAGGAATCAGAAAACGACCCAGTTACTCGACTGCTCGGTACGTAAGGAAGCATAGAGCTTTTCACGGTGGTGGACCCGCGGATTATGGTCTGGGTAACTTTGACTCCTCCGTTGATATCGACTGCTTCAATCGCCTCTGGCTCGTTTGTCTGGGTATTCAAACAAGCCACAACTGTACATACCAATGTGCGAAAAAGCGCGCGATTGGGAATATTCGGGCCCGGAAATTCCCTTATTAAGAATAAGAATTGTTAGCAATGCAGAACAACGTGGTCAGATTGAGAAATATGCACGCACACTTGGACTGGGTGGGTTGTAAGTGGAATCTTCCTATCGGAGATCGGTATAGAGATGGTTGACTTTGGAGAACCAATTGAAAGATCGGACTCCACTGAGCGTGTACGGGTAATGGGAATCGATGGTGAGAGGCAATCGGGTGATGGAGAGAGCTCTGACAGCAGTGGTTGTGATGGATGGAGAGGCTTGATATCAATAGAATTCATATTGAAGGCGTGTACAAGCTGGAAGTCGAGCCAATGCCGGAACTGCTCCCATTCCTCTGCAGTGTCATTGATCGACCGAGCAGGCTTAACCACAGCTTGATCTTTCTCAGACCGGTCATAGTTCGGAACGAGGTTGTGCCCATAGCCAACCATCTCTAAAGCATCGCGCACATCATCGCTAACCTGATGAAGGAAGAGAACCATTGCATCAACAGTTGGTGTCTCAGCAATGTCTGTATCAGAATTCAACATATACTTGCGACTGGTATGCTGAGGCGGGCCCACAGGTAGACCATGTGTATCAAGTCGCCGAGTAAGGTTTCCCAGTCTCTCAGAGATCTCACGAATGCGATCGAGGACCCTTTGGTACCTTTGACTGTCAAGTGAAGGCACTTCATCATCCTCTGGGATTCCACTAAGTATGTGTTCCGGCTTAAGGCCGGCGAGCCTCGATCGATGCCCACGCTGGCTTGAGTGGTGTGCATCATGGTCTTCGGTGTGTATTGGGCTGTCAATAATGCATTTCCGCAGGAGTAGTGAGATCTGTGCGGTCATTGTCCTGAAAGACGTCAGCCTTCAGCAGACAGTATCCTGCCACAAGCGATGGCCCTCACTTGATCGATTTCAACATCTCCAGGTTTTCTAACTGGTTATTCTCCGCTATCCGCATAAACCCCAAAGTTGCATCGCGTGTTTCCTCGGTAGACCTCAGCGTTGCCACGCTCAGACAACGCTCAAGTTTCTGTCGAAGCCGTTCGGCCTCACTTCGCTCGAGTGGCCAGGTGACCTTCTCAAACCAGACGGAGACCTTCTTGCCTAGACTCCCACGACGGCTGTTATCTGTTAATGGTTTATCTTGGGCAAGTACCTTGTGCTTATTAACGAACTGGGCGCATTCCTGGATTGTTTGGTGGTAAATCGCTCCCAGATGACGGACGTCTCCTGAGGTAGATTCATTTACCCGCTGTATTCTTTCCAGTAATACTTTGATAGCACGGAACTCTTGGCGAAAAGAGTTAAAGTCGCCTGTTGCACCTGTAGGTCCATCTCTCACGCTTTCATAGACCGTCCAGACAAATTTGACCGCAGTGACGATATCACCAACACCTATCTGGCTCATAGTGAGATGTGCTGAAGCACCCTATAGCCTCCCCGTTGGTATCCTTGTAAAAAGTGGACTGTTATTGCAGATATCGCAGTGGGATGGAAGTTAGTACAGTGGGTAGGAACAAAAGCAAGGTGGAAGTGGCTACCTAGAATCTCGTGTTCTAGAGGTAAGCGAAATGATCACGAGGGCTTCAAACTAGTCTGTCATGAGGCTGAGTGAGAACAGCAAGCCTCAGAGTATCGAAGGCCACTGATAGGACTAACATGATGACTGTGCAATGTAGCCCCTGCGATCTGGTCAAGTCATGCCATCACGTTCACAGAGGTAGCTGTGGGTCCTCGGTGCTTTCGCCCGGAGCGCTTCCAATGCATGCGCAGATACGAGGCCAGTAACCTTCTGGAAAACCGGAGATTTGAATGTACAATATGGGCCCCGAGATTATGCGTCTATCGGAAGCGATGAGCAACGACTGGTGGCGGCAGTGCAGGGAGGCTAAATTTTAGCACCCATTTAGCGTCATCCCACAAACCAATGGTGGGGACCTAGTCAGGAACGTGCTGAGATGAGATGCTTGTATTGAATACACAGTATATCTCGCAGGCACAGGGCGCAGGCGGATTGCCTTTGGTGCCTCGTATACGATGTCTGACACCCATTTGCCAAGTCCACCCCAGAGGTCCATACCTCAATCCCTTCTAGGGAGCAACGCTACTTCACATTTAGCGAAGGGCGATATGAAGAAGTAGAAACTCAACCTTGAGGAAATGGGGAGTACCGCCTCATTATCAGCCTCACCCTCTTGTGATCATGGCGCTGATATATTCTGGGGAGTCCCCCGTATCTATTTCGCGTAACATTGCATGGTGATTGAACATTCGCGGTGAGACACTGTTCTGCGTCTCGCATACTTCTACGAGTCTTTTATCTCCTACAGTCCGACCATCATTCCCAAGTTTCCCTTCGGTCGTTGTTCCTGGCGGTCAAACAAATATAGCAAATTGATATGGGAGTCTTACCTCGGGTGAAGCTATTTTTAAACCCATGGGGGAACTATGAGGACTTCCAGCATCATGCAGTAGGTAGCATATGGCAACCCGAACGGCTCTTCTCCGTTCTTCTGGCTAATCCCCTGGTTAGCCAGCACAAAGACGTAATTTTATCATCAGTCGGTTGGAGAGTGCAAGGCAGAGGGAATGGCTCTGGGTGGTAGTCGTCGCCGGGGTCGGCTTTTTTGCTGATGCGTACTGTGTATGCTGAGTGAGAGGTTGAACCTCTAACACTGACTGACAGGTTTGCAGATCTTCTCAGTCAACATGGTCGTCCCTATGATTAGCGAAGTCTATTGGGGCAGTTTGGACGCCAAGCCTGACCACGTCCACAACTATGAGGTCGGCCTTAGCATCATGACCTTAGGCGGCGCGCTCGTAGGCCAGATTCTTTTTGGTATCGCCGCGGATATCTGGGGTCGCCGGAAGATGTATGGATTGGAGTTGATTGTCTTGATATTCAGCACCCTTGGGATGTCGATGTCATCCTCTGGCAAATATGACTCTATGTCCATAATCGGGGTTCTTCTGTTCTGGCGGTTCTTTATGGGAGTGGGAGTGGGAGCCGACTACCCTTTATCTGCTGTGATCTGCTCCGAGTTCGTGAGCCATATGGAGACCCATAAGCCCCCTGTTGCAGCATGGCACAGCTAACATTTTTTCATAGGCTTGCACCCACTCGCATAAGGGGTCGAATGATGGCAGCTGTCTTCCTCTGCCAATCACTTGGACAGACTGCGGCGGCACTCATTGCTCTCATCGCTGTTGCCGGCTTTCGACATAGCCTACCTAATGACCCAGAACTTCGAGAGTGTACAGGATCTTGTGTTCGCAATTTAGATAGCATATGGAGGTTAATAGTGGGTCTGGGAGCGGTACCTGCATTTATCGCCATCTGGTTCCGATTGACGATCATTGAATCCCCTCGGTATACCGCCGATGTCATGCAGAATAGTCTCCAGGCTGCTGCAGATATCTCTCAGTTTTATCAGTCAGCGGATATTTCCTCAGCCTCTAGTCTAGGCCATGAGTCACTCCACCCAGTCGAAGAGACGATATCACTATCCCCCACCCAAACTCGTGAAAACGGCTTTACCCCATCAGTCATCTCTCGGCAATCAAGCTCTATAGCATTGGAGAATATCTCTAGCCCTCAACACCATTTTTGGAGAGATTTCAAAAATTTCCTCCAGCAAAAGCGCAACCTCCGGACGCTCGTGGCAACATCTTTGTGCTGGTTCTGTCTCGACCTGCCGTTCTACGGCCTGGGGTTGATGAATGTGGACATTATAAATACCATCTGGTATGGGAACCATATTCCGTCTGCAGGAGTATATCAATCTCTTCTTCGGGTGTCATATCAGAGTATCGTGGTCGTTTCATCGGGCGCTATCGTCGGTAGCTGTATAGCAGTGCTAACAGTCGACCGAATCGGGCGGCGGAATCTGCAGCTGCTTGGCTTCTGTTGCCTCTTCATTCTCAATGTGATCATTGGTGCTTCATTCCGATATCTGAGCACACACGGCGACTCTTCAGCCTTGGTCGTACTTTATGTTCTGACTCAGATATTCTTCAACTTCGGTAAGTGGCTCGCACTGATCATCCATACCATAGTCGACAGTGTGACTAAGATTCATATATTTTCCCCGGGATAGGGCCAAACACCACGACATATATTGTACGTGAACATGCAAACGTTCCAAGAGATCTTTTGTATTGCCCCATCAATTTGTAGTCTCTCTAACCGTGCCTAGGTCCCTGCTGAGCTCTTCCCAACCCGATTTCGCGCCACTTGCCATGCATCTCAGCCGCCTCTGGAAAACTAGGTTCTATTCTTGCCCAGTGCTTCTTAGGGTATGTGGACTTTGGCAATGGTGCAACCTGGCGAAACGTGCCGGATTGGCTAGGATATGCACTTCTCTGGTAGGCATAATCCACCTCTAGCGATTGACTTTCAATACCAACAGCGAGCTCTAACAGCGACGCTAGCTTATCATTCTTCATGCTGATGGGTCTGATTGCTACCTTGTGGATCCCTGACACTAGGGACAACGAGGGAAACAATAAGTCTCTGGAGCGCATCGCCGATGACATGCAGGCAAAAGATGCACACCCCGTGGATGAGGGAGAAACCGGCAGCATCCACACGCAGTCTACTATGCTGACGGCTGGCCCAGGCTGGAGATCCACATGAGATTTCTGGTTTGCAGATGGCTTCGCCCGAACGTCTCCTATATCTCTTTGCTTTCTTTGATGTATACATAGATTGTCTTGGTATATGCTTGTCGACGTAATATATGTTTATAATATGCAAGTGTTCAACGAAGCGATGTCCTGACGACGATATCATTCCATAATCACAGATGCCCATAGATATATGTTACTTCCCACCTTGATTTACCATAAGCAACTGGAAAATGTAATAGACATAAGCCTGTGTTAGATTATTAAGACACTCAATACATTCCCTTCCATCTGGATATGTAAATATACCGAATACAGTATCCCTACTAGGTACACACATCCCTCTTCAAAGGACATAAAGGGTGCAATCCTCGCACTTGGTCTAACAGGCTCTGTCGGGCCCTGAGTCACAGCCTGTCCGTCCTGTTGTACCTTGTCAGGACCGCCTATCATATCACAAAGGAGCATTAACAGTCTGCCCATATATCCTTGGATTCAATAGGAAATGGCCTTAACTTATCGCTTTCATGGTGCATGAATGGCACGAATGCGGGGCCAGGCTGACACGTCACCATCACATCCTTCTAGCCATTCACCTTACACCTGGACTACATCCAAATAGCTGCCGTTAGGTATGGTGCTTTTTTTACTGGATGGTGTGTCTCTGCTTTTTCAGCACAAGTTGAACACGCTAAATTCAAACGGAAGTTTGAGTTTATGCTCAAGCTGGAGCAACGGTTCCCTGTGCTCCGTTCACTTCACGAATATGTCTTGCGTCCTGTCATAACCATACTATCTAACTTTGTGCTACTTGGATTGACTTGTTGGCTGGGTAAACTGTAGTGATATCCTCCCGGGCACGTGCTTCGGGGTAAGTAGAATCCTTCATAAGGTATTATGTCGACTGTACCATCCCGGCACCCTAACTTGGTCCTTATTTAAGGTGGGGATATAAGCTACGGGGACCCGTGGTTCGATATTCTCAATCGCGTAAAATGACATCATTACTCTATGACATATTGAACCGAAGGTATATAGTCTACCTTCTATCTCCCACAAGAGAAAATCATTCGAACAGTCATTCGTGCGATATACACCGGCGCAGACACCATACCAAAGGATAAATTACCTTAACAAAAAATGGATAAACTCATGTCTAAGCTTGGCGGTGGTAGCCAGTCCAAGGACAAGGAAGGTGAAGGTGGCAGCTCGAACGACAAAGACTACGTCGATAAGGGTATTATTCGCCCCGATATTCACTGGCCCTGATCTCCCCATCGGTCTCTTCGAGTGCATAGAGATACTAACAGATCGGTTAGGCCTCGACTCAATTGAAAAGAAGTTCGGCGGTGGTCGAATCAATCCTGACGACCCGAAGGTGCGAGAGACGAATGAGAAATTTACGGATGCTGCGAGAAACAAGCTTGAGAGTCTGACTGGGTAAGTCATTGAGCCGTAGCTTACTACAACGAGGTATATCTGGCTAACTGTTGATGGCTGGATGTAGGCAAAAGGTCCCCTCTAAATTCTCCAACTAGATCGCTCGTGCTACGCTATAATAATAAAGTCATTCCTGAACCACACGCGCCTGTTATATAAATTATGATTACCTATCAAGGGATAATACAATCATAAACAAGAAGCATAGTAGCGAATTCCTCAGCGACAAAGATAGTGAAACTTTCGAAAGCGTGTCTCAACCCGTAGCGCATTCCAGGACGAGACATCCCTGCATTCCAGATAAACCATGTCCCTTTTCCGACTTGAATTTATTCTGGACTCAATTGGAGCTCTATCCAGCTGGATCCGTTTGGTCTCGAACCTTGACAGGTGTCAGAATCTATGATGTGCATGCCATATAATAGAGGACATCGGATAATTTCTACACCCGCGACAACGCCGATCGGTTCGCACCCGTATTCTCCGACAATTCCCACAGATCTTTGGACCAATCTGTCGCGGTAAGGAGGTGTAGCTCACGTACTGAGAATGTCATAAGGACTTCGTTCCGTCCCGAGCTTTATTTGCGAGGAAGAAAACGTATAGCAGTCCAAGGCCATCCCTTCCGCGGTAGACAGGATCCACCACGCAATTGCTGTAACCTATTGCGGCAGTAGGTTTTAAGTTCGAATTAACCCTATAGCTACCATACCGAGGGCGATCTTTAGTGAACGAACCTCACCGATGGCGTGGAAAGCTCTGATTGGCCTTTTGTCGATCGCGCTTGGCCCATTCCTTGCGTATTCTTGCAATCCCCGTACTCTGATACGACGTCACGACCCACCGACAAGGACTTTGAGTGGGCGATCTTCAATAGATTCTCCACTGGGGTGGTTTTGTTTTCGGCTACAGCTCACATGGGGCCCCTCAGCTGTGTTCAGCTCAGCCTGTCTGCCACAGCTTACCCAGCTGGAGCAAGCTATATTTGTTGTCAGACCGCCATTCCAACCAGGTGAGAACTCACCAGATAATTTCCAATGTTATAACACCCTCTCCTTGTCTTAATGGACCCAGTCGTCACTGATTTCGTACAAGAGTACAAAAATAAAAAATGGATCTACGCGCGCAACGCAGCAGTGACCGCCAGAATATGCACCGAAATACTACAGGCAGAGCGTGTACCAGGGGTTGTCACACACAGGACAAAAGACGCTTCCAGTCTGGAGCGCAAACTTCGTGAACGTCAGAGATTGCGTGGTCGCGCCTATCCGACGAAAGAAAGAATCCACTGGGAGATGGCAGACCTAGCAGGGGTTCGCATCGTCGTATATCTCCCTCAAGATCATGAGCGCGTTGTACACGCGCTAAGTGAACGATTCGATCTCGAGTTGAAGAAGAGCTATGGAGCAGTCGACACGACCAGTGTTGTTCGGAAACTCTCCTGGCACATTCAGCGTCCAGGGTATTGCGCCACCCATTGTTGGGTATTTCTGAAAGAGGACGAGCCACAGGCACGGGACGGACAAACCAGGAGGAGAGTAGAAATACAGGTTGTTACCATGCTGCGGCATGCCTGGGCTCAGTTTGAACATGACGCAGTTTATAAGGCACAATGCGCCATGAATCTCGAGGATCGCCAGATCCTGGATTCATTGAGCTGTGCCATTGACCGCGGGGAGTGGATCTTGAACTGCATACCTGACAGCGGTGTCAGAAATATGTCGAGTGATCTGCTGTTTGAGATGGTGTATGAGGTAGGATGCCTGGTTGCAGAAATAGCCAGAGAGGAAAGTCGAGCGCAGGGAACTGCAAAGCCCTTGCTGGAGTTCTTGCGACATTTGAAGGAGGCGAAGCCCAAAGGCTTGTGCGGTTTAATGGTAAAGGAACGTTTATAGCATCATACCACAAGGGCCCGCGGGTAAATCTCATTTAACACCGCAAGAGGGGAAATATGACGCCATAACTTGGGTGGAAACAGTGTAGAGATGGTTCCACTGGAGAGGATTGGACCACTGTCGCATCTACGCTCAATAACTCGAAGAGCGCTATCATTGACAGTCTAAATCCAATGCTCCTAGGGGTAGTATGGCCGGACCGGTCCTCCTTTCGAGAAGTGACAAGGGTGTATCACATCCAAATATGGCTCGTGGTAATCACATTACGAAAGTACACATGCACTCCCGAGAGGATGGCAACACACCGAGCTTCTCTTCCTAGCATGGCCAGCAACAGGAACAACAGTTTTACAAAAACGTGGCTCACATACTTAAAGCTCCATCTTATTACTAAGATATACATAAGACTTGTGTTCACTGCTTCTTCTTTACTAAAGCCCACCTGTACCTTGCCTATTACATCCATAGTGAAGACATCAACCACTCTCCAAAAGCCCTGGTAGCATCACCTGTAGTTCGCTGTAAATGCATTGGCTGTAGTGCTCAGTCACGCCGAATAAAGATCGCCACCTCGCCGAACCATTCCTCGTCACTCAAGAACTCAATTCGGTCATAGGCCTTCATCATCATATTTCTCAGCCGTGCAGAGAAGGGATCCGTCCTGTCCGTGGTCAGCTACTAGGTGCACAAAGGTGGCAGGAAATATGATCCTACATGAACTGCTCACGACCGTTATGCAACCATATCTCATCCTCGCATGTATTCCAAATCATCATCGCAGGCCGAGCAATGTCCGCAACGATTTGTCTCACGGGCACATCCGGCGCGAAGGTCAAGACAATAGTGGAATCATCAATCTCTACGAAAGCATCTGGATCCTCCAGACAAGTGATTTCGTATTTCTCGAGAATCGACTTGTCAATAGCGGTGTAGGCAGGGTCCTGTGCGAAGCATTCGATTTTGTCGGCTGTCTCTCCCTGGCACTTACTCACGATGCGACGCAATGTCAAGGCCAAGGCATGCTGAAACTCAGACCGATGGTCCCAATTCTCAATCGAACGAGGCTGCATAGTACCTAGCGCGAGGGCAACAATCTTTGTGATCGGAGGGAGGTTCTCACGCGATTCGATGATCTTCTGCAGTTGCGTGTATGATTCGCTGGCTTCCCAGGTCTGGATGCTGGTTGTAAAGGAATCATTGATTGTCTTAACCGAATCCACAATGTAGCGGAATCCAGGTCGTAACTCTTTCGTAACTTCGTCGCGCAACTCCATGTAGTGGAGAACCCTTAGGCTGAGGTCACTATATCCATCCATCTGGTACGCCCTGTACGAGGTGAGGAACCCAAAGGTGCGGTATTCGATGGCTGGTGCCTTGCTACAAGGGGAACTGTCAGCCCAGCCTGAGTCAAACCCTTGATTTCACAGAACACGAAGGAACCCACAGAACCCATTCTGTACCGGGCTCCGACCCAGCCCTGGTGACACCAGTTCTGACTTCAAAAGTTTCTTCAGTGCCCTCTAATCCCTTGATGAGTACCTCTCGCTTTTCGGAGTTTTCTGCTTCTTTAAGCTGCCTACTAAGGTCACGGAGCTGTTCCTTTGTGAAAAAGGGAACTCCAGCCTCGTAAAGCCTTCGAATTCCAGCTGTCTCCTGCACAAACGTATCATAGTCTCGACCATGTGAAGAGTGAAAGTCTTCACAGTCAGAATCTTGTGCATCAGTCATGTCTGCTATGAACAGCAAAGGATTTGGGTCTGTAGCTGAGGATATTGCGTGTAATTGAGTGCTTTGTTAGCTATGTCGCGTCAGGGGAGGCTGTGTTGTTTGTACCTTAAACAGGCATAAAGCTAACAGTGCGTCAAGGCGGGGTGATTGTGCAGAATCCTTTTCAGGTCACCAGTATTTAGCGCCTGACTGATTTTGGTCCTATTTCAAATCTCTAGTGTAACGGATCTTCCTTTACTCTATGCCAATATGCACTTGTACGTGAGTTCTATTGTCTTCAGAGATTGGTTATATTACATTCTTTGGTAACGAACAACTAGCTGCTCCCGTACACTTAGCCACTGGGCATCCTATATGGCTGTATGGCTGTGATTGTGGGGAGAACAGTGCTTAGAGCTAGAAAACATTGCTGTTTCTGGAGTAACAGAGGGCTATATACCACGTGACAATTGAGCATACACTGTTGAATAATTCAGCCTGCCTCCTTTACTGTGGAACAGTCGCTCTGCGCAGTACCATACCAGTTAAATCCAATGTCTCTAACTCTCTGTACAATCCTATTCTAATACATTTCACCACAAGGGAGTCCCTGTAACTTTGCTTATTTCGAAAACCCTTTCGATACCTTCTCTCCCAAGGCTCGCAGCTCTGGCGTCATATCGTCTGGCTGGATACAGCACTCCAAGAACGCAAGCTTATCGCTCTCTGTGGATACCCTCTCTATTGCCCGCAGGAGGTCCGCCTGGGTCTGGATTTTCTCGGCAAACGCGGGAATTGCATCCAGATCTGACTTCTCCGTTGCATACGGGTTAGAAGGTTGCGCATGGGGCTTGTCCAAGAACGAGGTAGCCAGCTTGGTATAGTCCCAGTTCGCAATATAGTTATATGGGCCTTCATGCACTGCAGTCTGTATATACTTGTCAGCTCGGCGTGTATAGGCGAAGCGTTGGGGCTGACCTCAGTCTTGTATCCCAGATTATTGAACAGCAAAATGATCGGATTCAGTTTCATCCGAATCATTGTGCCTATCTCTTGGGCCGTCATTTGAAATGCACCATCGCCTACCATAAGAACGATACGGCCGTGAGGACGAGCTACTTGAGCGCCAAGGGCTGCTGGCACGCTCCATCCAATCGATGCATAGGGAAGTTGCATGTGCAGGTCCACCCCAGCTGGCAGTTTGATATGGCTCGCAGCAAACCATGTGTCGCCTGAATCTGCCACCAATGTGGAGGTATCCTGTACCAGACTCTGAATGCCAGAAAGCAAACTCCGCACTGTCAATGCATCATGAGAAGTTTTGATTTCGGCTTGGATGCTAGCGGGGTGGCTTGGTTTGAAGCCAGGAAGAAATTCCGCTGGGCGAATGCTGGTGCTATCGATCATCGCGGAGACCAATTTGCTAACGCTTATCGGGGTAATGACTTTGCCTCCCGGCAATCCGACGCTGTTATAGTCAAAACTGATCAAACGGTGGGCCTCGTTCTTTACGTCAATGGAGGGAGTATGTAGGTCCGACCAGGAGACTCCTACTGCGAGCCAAAGATCAGAGCTCAGGACAAGTTTCTCTCCTTCGCGGTTGAGCAATCCAGGCCAGAAAGTGCCCCAATACTGGGGGTGGGATTCCGATATCCGACGCCCGTCTGGTTGGCACAAGACCGGGCAACCAAGTTTCTCAGCAAGGCATTGGATGATATCTCGCGAAAGCAATACTTGTACCTGACTTCCAAGAAGTAGTACTGGTCTGTGAGAAGAGTTCCATAGGTTTGTCATAGCCTCTAACGCCTCCCCTTCTTTGTTTGTCTGGGTCGCTTCCTCTACCTTCTGGTTTAAGGGTATCGGGAAACGACATGGGGCGCCGGCAATGTCATTCGGAAGTTCGATATATACCGGTAGCGATTGTTGTATACATTTACCGATGGCATGATCAATTACATCTGCGGCGGATTCCACAGTGTCGACACGTACTGATGCAGCTGTTACTCCTTGAAAAGCGTGAAGGGCCTGGTCCTTATTTGAGGGCGACGGTGTATGATGCGTTGCTTTATTGCCGGTGAATACACTAGTCGGTGGACAGCCCGACAGAACGATGACCTTAAGTCGCTCTGAACAGGCACCCGATATGGCGTTCAGGATGGATAGACCTCCCACTATGTATGGGACGACAACCGCCGCTGCTTTCGCCTCCGACGCACGTGCATAGCCATCTGCAGCGTATCCCGTGTTCAGCTCATTGCAACATTGTACCATTCGTAAACGTGGGTTTTCGAGGAGATTATCGAGGAGGCTCAGGTTGGAGTCCCCTACATAGAGGTTAATGATCCTGTTCAAGTTGCTTTCTCCTAGGGGTAGGGCCTTGCCTGGTACGACAAAGTAGTCACGGACTCCAAGCTGCTCCATTCGATGTCCCAGATAAGCCCCCACATTGTAATCCTGTGGTTTGACATTCGCCATTCTGGTCTTTCCACTGGGTCTGATCCCTTGTCGATGTGAACCTTCAGGTCTTTGTCTTCTGAGTAGCAAAGAGAAACTCAGGACATGTACTGTATTGGTACGACAATATGTTTCCTCGATATGGGAAACGAGACCACACTTTAATATTCAACGGGTTTATCCCACCAAATATATCCAGAGACCAGTTTTACATGCCAAGCAGGCCTTATGATCCAGTACACGTGCCCAAACAAGGAATGGTTCTATCTGTTCCTTGACTACCCCAAGATCTGCGTTCCGAGTCCTTAGTGAACTAAGCTCTTTGAAGCCAAATGCTGCATAGAATTATGGGATGACTAGTTATGCAGTTATTCTACTGTGGATAGGGCCATCAAAACAGGATTCTAATAGCCTTTGGCCCGATGCAGGCAGAAGGCTGTGGGATTCCATGAACGGATATATATCTCCGCATTTGACGTCACTGTTCCATTGCCAATATGGCTGGAAAACTTGTATCCAACAGGATACCAATTATTTCTGCCTGTGACCTTGTAGGGTCACCCAGGACCTTTCCTGTTATACACAAGTTGTTGATCTGTTCCCGTGTTGTCACTGCTACTACAGCAGAAAATAAGATTCTGGCCACTCCCGGCAAGGCACGGAACAAGGCACGGTTGTACGCAAGGAAAACTGTATTTCTCATTGGTATACTGTCAAAAACTTTGTCCAGTCTAAGGTTTCTCAGCCATGCCCTGTCCCAAGTTGCCTTATATGTGGTGGTTAATGGCAAGGAAGGGGCGTTTGGGGTGGGACATTTGATGTGGGGGTAAGCACGGACCACGTGGGCGCCCTATCTGTTCTTACCATGACACTTGGGCACTCAACAAGGATCGACTTGTTCTGAAGCTTTGGGTGTACGAAGATGACGAGCATGAAAAAGTTATAGGCCAATATTTTGGATCACCTGGCCTCTAAAGAGCTTCACTATGGACCCGCGATCATGAATATATGCCCTGCCCTCCTTTCTCTCTTCCTTCGGTCAACATATTGTCAACTATCTCGAAATCGAGTTTTGTGCTATGAGAACAATGCTACTCTTAACTCCTTACAACGGCCCGCATTCGACGACTACATAGCAACACGGCGATAATCACGATACCGCCATATCACGGGGCGTGGGGCGTGTACCTGAGGGATTCGACCCGATACCCATGAATTCCAATGCAAAATCTGGACTTTCCTGGATCCTGGCGATTTCATCTACAACGGCGAGTGAACTGTCGCGCTCGTAGAGGTTTAATGTCTTTCTATGCTAGGGTTTCTACAGTTCTCACCTGAGGTCACGGGAAGGCGGCAAGCAGAATTATTTTGCCCTACGCGACGATCATCCATTTTTTGTTTTTCTCTTCTATCACCCCTCCTGCTTTCCTCTCGTCAATCCTCAGACGTTGCTTATATACCATCCGGAATATTCTATAATTTCACTATAATAGACATCCAATGCCAAAAAATACACATCTCCTTTCTAAATCAGTGAAATCCGCAGGAATTAACAGCGCGACTGATCCAATGGAACGGCCACCGAGAAATGACGTCACTGATAAGGAGCAGTGGGCTGCGAGAGTGATTCAGGTACGGAATGCGTGTCTGTCTGGACTTTCTCGCCCTAAATTGGTCGTCTCATAGAGAACATATCGGGGATATCGAACGCGACGCGAGTTGCAAGGCTGTGGAATATCGGCGACCACGCGTTGGGTAGAGGTCAGTTTGGACAGCGAGTGAAGGATTTCATTATCTCACAGGGATACACCAGGCCGTGAAAGAAGCAGAATGGCGCGTCCTCCATCGTCCATCCGCCCCAGAAGCTACCGTCGAAAACGATAGCTCCGCCCATGCTCGTCGTAATTGGCAGCGGGCTGTCAGTGTCGCCAAACGGGCGGGTGGTGACGACGACCTTGACCGGGAATCCGCTTCGCCCACACGGAATGAGACGTGGCAGTCTAGCGGTAAACCGGCAGCGCCGGCTCAGCTCGACTTGCCTCCAGGGACAACCGCGAAAATGATGGACTTGCAATACTTCCTCGAGTTGGTAGATTTGAAGCACCGTCATGGCAGCAACCTTCGTGTTTACCACTCACACTGGAAGAATTCGACTACCGCACAGAACTTTTTCTTTTGGCTGGACTATGGCGAAGGAAAGGACCTTGACCTTCCTCAATGTCCGCGCGACAAACTCGAGCGGCAACAAGTGCGCTACCTCTCACGCGAAGAACGAATGAATTATCTGGTCACTGTAGACGAAGCTGGGCTATTCCGATGGGCGAAGAATAATGAGCGCGTCTGGACAGACAATAGACGGTTCAAGGACAGCTTGAAGGGGGTAGTGCATATCGACGAGGATGCACCGCAGTTCCAAGGGAATACCGAAGCGGGCGACCCGGACGCTTTCTGGACCAGTTCCTCTTCGTCTGTCTCATCACTTTCCTCGTCAGATTACGATTCAGATAGTGACACGTGCGCGAGCAGAACGAAGGAAACGTATGTGAACGAAGACTATAAAGCAGTCAAGAAGTTGAAAAAGGTTGTGCATGTCAGTCCGTCGACAGTTCTCAGCAGTATAACGGGGAAGTCGTTGAAGAAGGAAGACATGTGGATATTCGTGAGTTCCTCGATCACTTGGATATACCCTTTATCCTGCCTAACACCGGTGCACCCCAGGTAGCCGATACCTCCCTCCGCTTGTATATCGGGATCAAACAGTCAGGTGCATTTCAGCATTCGTCATTTCTTCGAGGGGCTCGCATTGCCGCTGCAGGTCTAATCAAGGTCAGGGATGGCCAGCTTCGTAGCTTAGCACCATTGAGGTAAGTTGCTTCTAGCCTTCCACTGATAGAAACTGCTAACCATACAAAAGTGGCCATTACCGTCCTCCTGCAGCTAACTTTCGTGCCTTCATCCACTCCCTCCAAGAAAGAGGGGTTGACATGTCTCATGTTTCCATTAGCAAGTCCTACGCCGTCCTCGCAGGCATCGAGGGATACACCCGCACAAAACACAAAGTCCGTGCGTTGCATGAGAAAGTTGACGATATGAAGCAAAAAGTCCTGCAAGCCCATCACAATGGGGAGAAGGGTCAAACTCCTGCCTGCCCTCAAAATGAAGGCGATTCTAGTCCCAAACCGCTTGTAGATGACAAACAAAGCAAAATCGAGAAAGCGAACCTCGAGTTACCCCTGCGCACAAGGTCCAGAATTGAAGCAAAGTGATAACCTATACGATATGTCGATTGCATGAGGGAAGCCCTTGCCGATATCATTGGTGGATGGATATATGGCTTGATGTCTCAGGAGCAAGAGCATGTAATTTGGAACAGCTCCTTCCGCCTACCGGTACCAATGCTTCCGACAACTTATGAGCTGCGACCGTGTGGTGTCTTACAAATTGCGAATACCCTCTGCTAGCCGTTCCTCTACAAGACATCACAGACCATCGTTGGTGGCTGGATTATCGCACAAATATTCCCGTGTCTGGGCCCGGGCCTGAAGAAAAGCGTCTCGCCATACAAGGTGAGCCTCATAGCCACCCCTCACCAATACCAGCTATTGCCGTCTGGACTTCTGGCCGAGGGACATCTCAATCAAATAAGGACTGCACTATGTCCCCAGCCTGGGGTCCGTGAGTGTGAAACTGACGTGAGGCAGAACATCCGGTATGGCATGCCACCTCTTCAAGATTTGCCTTCCTTGTCTCGATAGTAATAACAGCGATTGGTTAGCAGCTCTTGTGGTGTTTTCCTGGCAACCAGAAAGAATGTTAGCTGCAGCACTACTTCACACTCACTGCCTCGAGAGACCTGAAATGGCGATACTTGGGTTTTCTATCACTACAAAGATCTGCGTCGAGAATACAGTTGAATTTTGAGTCATCTGGACTAGCCACGGAGCTTCCTGATACCCATGGACCATGAAATTAGCCGACACCTATCCTGTTCTGCACCCTTATTGCTACTTTTTCCTCGGCTTATCTATTTCAACGCATGTCGACCTTTGGTCATCACCACCACGGACGATTCGTCCGGAACAACCGTAACATTACCTCTAAGTAAAGTTGGATGCACCATGAAGACTCTCAAGAGATTCCGACCAGACCGTATGTCCGCAAAATGTTCCATAGTTGGTTAGCAAAGATGTTGCAAATGCACTAGTATCCGGAATCTCGGGAATCTCGGGAATCTACACTGATGGTTATCCACTACTGTACAATAGCTTCTATTCGGGAAGTCTTTGTTCTCGGCGATTGGGATGAAATTACCCCTTTCACAGTATCGAGCAGTCTGGGTATGATTTGATATCCAAGAAATACTCATGCAGGAATACATGAGTGCAAGCCTGAGGCATCTACCGGATATGTCATGTCGAATGACTCGATAGGGTCCAGTGAATGTCAACATCGCATGCCAGAGGTTGGGTTCACCTTGCCTGGATTTAAGTCCATTTGCCACAATCCAGGAAAACCTGTCCAATACCTGAAGGACGGAGTTTTATTCACTACTTTCATCCCGCACTCGCTGTTAGATACTTCACCCCTCTTTACGTCGCTCCAATTATGCTTGAAGTGCCCCCCTTCGTGGCGTATCCAGATGACGCTTCAATATCCCCATTAGGCATGTGTATCCTGGCACAGCGGCACGTAGTAATGGACTTACGTAGTCTTCAAGCGGGGGCCTGGATAGATTCACTTAGCCAGATGTCCCTCGTTGCCTATAAATAAGACCTCCATCCCCCTCGAAACACTCCTCTTCTGTTGATCATCCTCTACCTCCTACGACGGACATAAAACCGTCTCCTACTTTCCTAATCCTTCTTATGAATCTTCTCTTTTGATATGATTCTTTGACACCATCATTACATATAATCCTTCCTTGTGTCCTTGGACTTTGTCCATTTTCTGATACCCTACCTCCCATCCTGATACCCCCACTGCCTTGACCATGATGTCTACATTTCCAGCCACTTTGCCTCTTCAAGTCATCCTATTTTCTGCTCTTTCACATCATGATGCCCCGCATGTACTCCTAGCCCCTGTAACCTGATTGCATGTCTGTATTGGGGTTCGTCGTTGTGCTGCTGATCCCCAACATTGCTTGGTCCAATCAGCAGCACAATCTGCTCACTGCTCAGTGGTAAAGGCCTCCGGGCCGGCAGCTTGTCAACTCTTGCAATTTCTAATTGCAGTCAACGCTGCGGTGTTTGATGTTTGCACAAAATCTTTGGGCATCCACAACATGGCTAAGGTCACCATTGGTGAATACTTTTGTTGATTGACATGGACCAACCACCGCAGTATTGCATACCGGTGCGGTGTCTGTTGTTTGTACGAACAGCCTTTGGGAAGCGTGCTTGTGCTATAGGATTCGGTCCTATCGAGAGTCACAGTACAGCATCCGACAGGACAGATACATCCAGCATTAGAACACCGCTTAGGTGATATCGTCTTTTGGCGGCACATTCCCATCCACTGCAAGTGAGAATTGCAGTCATCCCCGCGGTGTTCGATTGTTTGTAACAATCCATTCTGGCGCGTTGCAATCAACAACACGGCTAAGGTCACCTTAGTGTGAATGTAATTGTTGGATGGCAATGAACCGGAGGTTGGGCATCCGTAATAAAAGCTACAGTTTGCTGGAAGACGCCTGCGGGCTGACAGCATACTATCTTCTTTCATCTTCTCTCTTGGTCCCCTTCGTCTCACTCTTCTCACAGCTATGTACTTTTCATATGAGAAGCCTCGCGGATGACTTGAATGCAGGTGGGCTACTTCATTCACGGAGTGGTATCTGGCTTGTCGGTGGGTGCAACAACACGATCTTTGCTTTACGAACTCGGCGATTCCGGTGGAAGATGAGTGAGATGAACTCATTTCTTGACATCAACTGAGGAGCTGACTGTTTGCAAACCACAGAGGCTGTATGGGTCTTGGCTATGGAGATGGTTGGTTTTCCCCTTGTTCAATGATGGTTGGCTGACACCCTGCAGGCCACTTGTCGACGTCGCCGGCTTTGTCTCTTTTCGTATCGAAATAACGCGCCTCATCACTCGTCCTCGCGTATCTTCATATTCATGCAAGCAACATCTCCACCGTCAAACCGCGACGAACTTTACGCTGCCTTCTCAGTTGACCTTGAAGAATCTGCAACCGAATCGTTGGCCAGTCAAGAACAGTATGTTACCTTTCCAATTCTTGCATTGCTCTACCAACCTCTGACGCCAGGGGATAGTCCTTACGGAGTCGACAACTCGATAGGGACCACATCGTCCAGCAAACCGAGAACTGTATAGCCTTGCCTCTTACAAGGCGCGGTCCTTCACCTCCACCAGACGACCACGGAACATGTTGAATTGCGCGACATGCGGCGGAAAGATGACATGGCAAACTGAGGAATGGAAACAAGGCATAAACCGTGACGATGGACGTTGGCCAAGGGAATGTGAGAAAAGAACCCGGGGACTGGCCGGAACATGCATGTAAATAGCTTGCAATGCCCTCAGAGATCTAGCTCAGCAGACGTCAGTGTCCACAATCTATAGGGCAGGACGATGACTCAGATCTCTGACTTGCGCACAATTTTGAGAGCCATACTATCCCAGTATGCTCCTGAGAAGAGACAATCAAACACCTCTTTCACCCACCACAGCCTAGTCAAGAGTAACGAGTACGTAAAGTAGTTTTGATAATCCCTCCGCATCCATAACGCATTCCCATTGGCCAGAACCTATGAAGAAAGGGACCCACTCAGATCTTCAATTTAATTTGATTTATCTTATCAAACTCCCGCATAACAACAAAAATTCCCCTCACCACCAACCCACGAACCCCAATCACCCAAAGAAAGAAACTACAAAAGATGTCCCGAGAAGCCCTCACCTTCCCCCCTCCAACCGCACATTCTTAGAGCCTCATCTCCCCCCTAACAATGACACCGAACCCTCCAAACCCACCCTCCCCTTCACAACCCTCACATTCGCGACCTCCCTAGACAGCTCTCTAGCCCTGGCCCCAGGAACCCGGACCACGCTCTCCGGCCCACAATCCAAAGCTATGACGCACTATCTGCGCTCCCGACACGACGCCATTCTAATCGGCGTCGGGACAGCGGTCGCCGATAACCCGGGGTTAAACTGTCGGATCGAGGGTGTTGGGGGTTACGGCGGGGAGGGATTGCTCGGTCAACCGAGACCGATTATCATTGATCCCCGTGCGCGATGGGATTTCACTGAAAAGTCGAAGATTCTGGAACTGGTGAAGGAGGGCAAAGGGCGCGCCCCGTTTATTGTCACTTCTGCTGGGACGGTTCCGAGTGCTGAGAAGAGGGTGTTGCTGGAGAGCTATGGGGGGAAGTTCATTCCTCTTGAGCTTTTTGTTGATGAGCATGGGGAGAGGGGGCTGGATTGGACTGCCGTGCTGGAGTGCCTGAGGGGTGAAGGGTTGAGGAGTGTCATGATTGAGGGCGGTGGGACGGTTATTAATTCGCTGCTGGAACCGCGGTGGGCGCAGCTCGTTGATTCGGTTATTGTTACGATTGCACCCACCTGGCTGGGGCAGGGGGGTGTTGTGGTCTCACCGAGACGTAGGGTTGAGGAGGGTCAGGTGGTGCCGGCGGCCAGGTTGAAGGATGTTAGGTGGTATCCTTTTGGGGAGGATGTGGTGCTTTGTGGGAGAGTTTAGAGGGGGCTTCTTGGATGCTGTTGTGTTAGGGCATGGTCTCTGCCGATGATGGTATATGTTCTATGCACGATAGTAGTGAGGATGAGTGCCGGCATTCGACGCTGAACATGCTGCAATCGAAATGCGGGAAGAGACAAAACGGAGTACATACGTCGAGAGTCAGTTTGTGTTTCGATTTATACCACGATATGCCAGTCCAATAAACATGTACCGAATTATAATGTCTATGCAGCGATGACCTTTCAGTTCCACGCATACTCCCTCCCCGGATGACCCTCACGCAGCCTCGACCCAAGTCCATCCTGAAAGTAATTCTCTCTGGCCGACCCACCCTTCACCTCATAATCATCCCAAATAACGCCTCTCCTCCTCAACTCCGGAAACAAATACTCAATCATATCCTCAAACGTGCCCGGAGAAACCGCATAGGAGAAATTAAACCCATCTACACCGGCCACATCGACCCACCTCTGCAGAATATCTGCAACCGTACTCGGAGACCCAATAGCCCGAGGATGGGCTCCCCCCAGCGCCAATTCCTGTAACACGCGACGTTTCGTCCACTTCAGCCCATTAGAGTTGGGAACAGTTTTCGACCAACTCGAGATCAAAGACTGGATTCCGCCAACAGCAGTGAAAGAGAAGTCTTCGTCGTCGTCGAACTTGGATAGATCGTTGCTGGTCCAGCCGCCGAAGAGCGTTGCCACGCCTTCGAGATCAGAGTGGGCTAGATACTCTTCGTATTTGGCTTGGGCCTTCTCGTCAGTCTCGTCGACGATCACAAGGATACCGGCGATGAACTTGATGCTGTCTGGTGGGCGGCCTACTTCCGCTAGTTGCTTTCTGTGACTCGTTAGCTTGGTTCCTGCTGAACGGGGGTAAGGCATCGTACCGCATATCATCCACCACGGCCTTGGTCTTCTCCGGCTCCAGACCAGGTAGAAACATCACCTCGGAATGCTTAGCAGCGAATCGCTTACCAGCGCTAAGTAGGCCCAAACATGTCAGCCCTTACCTGAGCCGTACAGCAGAAGCAAGCGGGAAATGAAACTCACGACGAAGCCCCCGCCTGGAAAAGCAACGGCGTCCTCTGCCTCGAAGCCGGCAACTGGCTCGCAGCCATACTCTTGAAATACTTTCCATGATGCTCGATAGCACGCACCTGGCTAGGATCACTGTACACCCCGGTCTTGGGGTCGTTGACCACAGCCCCATCGCGCCAGGTCCCTTCCCACAGCTTGTATGTAAGCTCCATATACTCGTCTGCTCGCGCATACCGTTCATCGTGAGGGATCTGCTCGTCCATTCCGTATGCCTTTGCTGCACTATCCAGAAACGAGGTGACGATGTTCCATCCCACCCGACCGCGCGTGAGATGGTCTAATGTTGAGAATTTACGAGCCAGTGCGTATGGCGAGGTTTCGTAGGTTGTGGATGCGGTTATGCCGAAGGAGAGAGAGGTGGTTACAGAGGCCATTGCTGAGATTAGGAGGCTATTGTTGGGGTTAGGGGTGGGTTCATTTTGTAAGGTCCAATTTCCGTGTTTTGACTTTTCTTATTGTCATTTTGTCCCTTTCCTAGACAGAGACTGGAGTGCTTACAATGGATCCCCAATGGGGAATTGCGCCCCTGATAACAACGCAGGTTCTCGATTCCCTGGACCTTTATACACATCGTAGATCCCAAGATGGTCGGCCAGAAACAGGCCGTGGAATTTGCCTTTCTCCAAAACTTTCGCTAACTCAATCCAATACGACAGATCGAGAAAATCACCGGCGCGGTCTTTTGGATGCTTCCATAGCCCTAATAGGGACATTTAGTCAACGCGCAGCAAGAAACCAAGTGGTGAACAATGCGGGGTAAGTCAGATATGTTCAACATATGGAGAGATCGTACCAGGTGATAAATGCCCTGGCGAAAACATGGCAAAGGCATTGAGGATCCATGGTTTCTTTTCTGGGGTTTTGGTCATGTTGGATTGAACAATTAGGCAGGTCCACGACGGAAAACGGGATTGAGGGGAAGGGGGAAATATTTAGTGAGGGACAATGATGTGTCTTCTTAAAAATAGGGATTGAATGTCGGACTTCTATCCGTCGCTTGTTTTCGGAGTGGGTGGTGATTGTGCTATTGTGCTGCGTGCGCACGCCATCGCCAGCCCATCCTGTAGTTCGTTCGATGTCGGGAGTCAGTGTTTTGGTGCATGGAGGGACCCCGCATGCTGGATGATGACCACGTGTAATTCCATATGCGATTCGTGGCTAGCAGAGAGAATTGATGAATCGGATGGACTCATAGATTGTTGTTCTTTCACTTCATGAGTGGTATGGACCCATGAATGGTACGATGGAGTGGGTGAACTATAGTGGCTGGTAGTGGAGCTTGCCATGTCAGGCACCCTGTTATCAACCACTAACATTCGGTCCATCAGGGTCCTCTAAGCAATCAAATTGAGCTTTCTGTGTATCTTGTTGGTCAACCCTAACGTAAGGATAATTTCCCACCAAGCTATGACCAGGATGGATGCGAACATACTACGGGCTAAGATATTTCTATGCGCTCTTTGTTCCAGGGAAGAATGAATAGCAAATTCTAAATACGTACAAATTGATGAACCAAATAAGCGAATGCTACACGACTATATCTACCAAGCCGTGCTAGCACCAATTTCCTCCCCAGACTTCGGCAACAAGAAGTCGCTAGGATCAATCGTTCCATCTGCATTGCGCGCTCCTTGCACCAAGGTCGCATCAACAGAGACAAAGCTACTGTTATCCCAGGCTTCGCTACCATCCCATGAGTTGCCCGTGGAAACCTGCTCCTCGCTCAAGGAGGTCGGGCTCTCCCCATTCGCAGCCGCGATATTCTGGCTCAAGGTAGCCACCGCCGTGCCGAACTTGAAGCCCACCTTGGCATTGTTCCAGGCCGTGTTTCGGGTCAGGGTGAAGTCACCCGGTTGCGAGTTATCGGTGAAGCCGTCCTTGGAATTTCCGAAGGCGATACAGTTGGTGATAACGTGGTTGGCAGGCCCGATGTCAGCCTCGTCGCCGCCACCAAGTTTGTAGCCATTGCCGTCGCCTTCGAATGGAGAGAAGTCCCATCTGCAAGTATTAGCGTAACTCTTATCGGACAGACAGGAATGCTAGTACCTGTTGTATCCGTTACCGTACGAAATGGCGTCCTCAATCGTCACGGCCGACTTGAATTCCCTGCGACGGTTAGCAAATGCACGCCACAAACCCTAATTGCTGCATACCAGAGGTCCAGTCCGTCATCGACATTATTCCACAATCTCGCCCCTCGAAGCACATTGCCCTCACCAGAGCCCTCCTTGCAGGCAAACCCATCAGCGCTCTCCCCGTTCTTGCGCGGGTCCCGATTGAGATACGAGTCGAGGTAGAAGACGCTGTTGTTAGACGATGCGCCTTCGAGTTGGAAGCCTAAGCTATATTAGCACATTTCTCAGATATTCTATACACTACCTACCAGTTTCATAGTTTTCCCTCGTGATAATACGCTCGTAGTGATTGTTCGAAGAATCACGTGCATAGACCCCATAAGGTCCATTGATCAATTCAAGATCATAGAACTCCCAGTACTCAGCATCTTGAATGTGCAGGATTCCACGGTCCTCATTAGCAAGCGATCCATCCAACTCCGCCGGCGTCCTATCCATCCTGATAAGTCACAGAAAACAACAGAGAACTGAAGAAACGCACCCCGGAAGTTGCTCCCCGTCAATCGTGACCTTCTCCCCGTCATAAGCCCGAAGAACATAAGGCGCAGACGCCGTCCCACTCTTCGTGATTTGGATATTCGTCGTCGGCGAATAAGTCCCCTCCCGAAGATAAATAGTAGACCCGGCCGTCGCTTTATCAACAGCGGATTGGATCGACAGGAGCGGTGCGTCGATCGATCCCGCAGCGGTATCTGATCCGGACGGGGAGACGTAGATATCGGCCGCTGCACAGAGTGGCACGACAGCAGCAAGTGCGTATACAATATGGTACCTCATTTTGCTGGTGTTCCAGGTTTGCGACATCTTCAACAGTAGAAAATACTCGATACATATAAAGGCGCGCCAAGACTTTCCTCATTGCTGGAAAATCAAACCGGCGCGGAGATTACTTGTCTAGCCAAGCCATGTCGATCGTTTGATTCCGGGAGTGGGCCTGCTCACCGGCGTTTCACGCTGAGGATGGAACAGCTCGGCAGCGATATTATAATCAGTTCGAGATGAAGATAAATTGCGCCAATCGGTTGGCCGTCTGGAGAATGACTCGTTTCGGGACCTGGCGGATCGTCTTGTGGAGGCGAGGGGAATTTACTCCATCCCTTCATTTTCAACGGTTTTGCTGCTGATAGGCTTTGTCTTGGGGTTGGAATCGTTTTTGTGTCATTTCAGCTATGCAGAATGCTGGGCGCATGATGATTGTAGCGAGCAGGTCGTCGTTAGCTTTACCTTCTATCACAGTTAGTATCCCTATTGGCAATACACATATATTCAGCAGATACATCACTGACAGCTATGTGTCCTTCTCCCGCCAAAGTCGATCCATTCCCCCTGCTACGTTTACCATGTCATATACTGACGGGGGTCCATGCCACGTGGTAACTAAACCCTAACACAACCGTCCCGGGCATCAAAGTTTAGAATTCAAGTTACTGCAAGCATATGCCTTGTCTAGATGCGCCGGACTAGAATAGAACTAGCGGTTCCATCTTGGCCCTGAATGCAGTCTTGTTTCAAGCAGCGCATTAAACCATTGCTGCAGAGACGTATGCGACATGTAAGATTTTGATCTTTGTCTTCTGACTAAACAATATTCCCGCGTAACAGGCGACGCATGAATCGCATGTCAGGCACAGTGGCCCGTGCGATATCAGATAAGTCTTCAAGGTAATCTTTCGGTTGGATTGATCTGAGTCTTCTCCTCCGTAGTTGAACTTTCAAGCTAGGCAAAGTATTTGAATTGGTTAGAAACACTGCATTTACCCTG